AACTGCCCTGGGTGATTATCCATCCAGGATTATCTAAACCAACATTAAGTACATAATTGCCCTGAAGGTCTAAGGTCCAAAGTCATTAAAGAGATCCTCTTACATGGTACTGTGTTCATTGCTGCTGCTCTAGTTGTATGAGGGTCTCCCGATAGGTTCTCTCACCCACAGGGACAGGCTCCGGGCTCTCCTGTTGTCTTTGCCTTGAGAATATAATGTCGGTTGGGAATGGTTATATCTTGCATCTCTATCTGGGTTTTAATATCTTATTGTTGTATTCTTGGCAACTCAATATTTTCCTCTGTATCAATGGCATATTTATGACTTTTTAGTCAACTTAATATTTGTCCTGCATATAAAGACAGATATGAAAAGAATGTTAGTATATATGGACACAAATTCCCTTTGGTATAGATCCTTCCTCCACTACTGGAGAAGGGCTCTATGGCCTATTATCTACAACATCCTGAGCCCTGAATCATTGCTTTGGAAAGTGCTTCATATACTGACCCTGAAGGAAAGTGGGACTTTCTGGAAATTGTCTGAGAATATTGAGATGCTTTATGAGAATAAGACTGGAGACCAAGGTTTAGGTGAAAAATAAGGCTTGTCATAATCATCCCACATAATGGATTTGAGAGGGAATATAATTTGAGAAGAAAGATATCAACCCATCTCAGCTAAGTTTCCAGAGCTCAGGGAATGATGAAGAAATCCAGGGACACAGAAGATATCCAAGGGGGGTGGCGGTGGCAGGAAACTAACTGGATTGCAGGTGACACAGGCTGGACTTCTGCTCTTCTTGGCATCCCCTCCTCACCGACACCACGTTGAGTGAGCCGGTATTTTCTCCTGAACACAGACTGACCAGACCTGTATGAAGAGAAAAGCAAGACAGGGAGAGATTGTCATAGAGCCTCTACTTGGCTTTTAATAGCAGTAATGGAGGAAGGTACCACTTGAGATGGCATGGGACTTAGGTGATGACATGGGAGGAGGGAGTCAGACAGAAGTGGAGGGGAGATATTTATCTCACTTCCCCACGTAGCAGTAGCTCTCGGGACATGATGATTCAAGCCAAGTGAGTGACACTGATAATGATTCCTCCTCAACCTGGAACCCAGTGCTAAGGAGGCCTAGCTTACAGAGCCAGTGGCAGAAAGTCAGGCTGTAGCCTGGAAGCTCAGTCAAGGCTGTGCTAGCTCACAACTCAGGGCTTCTCCCAGAGAGCTCTGATTATAGTTACCCCCATTTCACTGCTCTTCCCTCCGCAAAAGGGCAATTCTACATTTGAGTCTTAACAACAGATTCATGGGAACAGGGATTTGCAGCAAATACTCAGACTCCTCCTCCCCAGACATCCAAGCCATTCCCCTCCACCCAGGACTGTTGCTACCCCCCACTGTGTACTGGAGGTGAGAAGGCCACAAGCAGGCACTGGGGGATCTGAGGATGCCCACGGTCCTGAGTGGTGTCAGCTGTAGGAAGTCACATCCACTGGAGCTCTTACCTAGTGTCCCTGGAGCAGGTTCAGGGTTTTTACAACTTTTCAGGACCCCAAATCCCCCATGCCTAACCACATCGCTGATGTCACAGATGTGTCTCAAGTACACAGCTCTGTGCCTGGAATTCCTCCTGAGCCTGGTTCTCACATAGCATCTCACATCCTAGTACTTCATCCTTGGGACTCAGTGAGCCATGGCCAGTCCTGAGAAAAGGGGCCTGGGGGGGACGAGGAGGTCTCTGCTCTGATGGTTGGAAAGGCAAAGACTAGCTGAGGAGAACTTTCAACCTGCTGGGATGGGCCCAGTGCTCTGACCATTAAGTAGACATGATTTGGGAGGAGAAAAGAACCACCAGGTCAACAGGCTCTAATTTTCAATCTGGATCACTAGGAATATTTTTGGATCTTTTCCTTGTCAGTTTTTATTTCTCCTGGGAGTTCAAAAAGGTAGAATAAGAAATTAGGAGGAATGACACTCTCATCAAGAATCTACTTCCAAGTAAAATCAGTGTGTATTCATGTTCTCTTAAATTGAAAGACAAGAGTCCAAGGCCATTGGCAGGCTGAGGTGTTGCCCCACATCCTTCTCTGTGTGTCCCTGTGACCAGAACCACTGTGCCATATTATACAGTAAGGGACAGCCTTGTCCCCTGTCTGCAGCCCAGAGATGAGCAGGAGCCCCACCTTGGGCGAGGTGTCTTTGGATCCAGAGTAGGGCTGGGGACATCGAGGCCTTATCTGAGTCTTAGTGGCAGTACAGAAGACATCAGGGAGGGCTCCCTGGCTTCTTCTGGATCCAGTATATATGGCAGCTGCCAACACTGAAGCCACCACTCAGGGTGCAGGTATGTGTGGCTGTTGCTCCCTGATATGCAGAGAGGGAGTGTGGCTGGGTCAGCCCTGGCTGGAAAAGGGACACTGCAAATACAGACACTCACAGGAGATGGGAATTCAGGTGGGAGTTTCTTAGGAGATGATAATATCTGTGAAGCTCCCACAGAAGTCAGATGGTGCCAAATATTAGCAGAGAGAGAATAGGAGGAGAAGAGGAGTCCAGGCCATGTTGACACAGGCTCTGACCCCCACAGTGAAGCAGGGCTGTCCCAGTCTTGTCTTATCCTCCCTACTGTCTCCAGGCAAATGAGGGTGCTGATTATACAAATTTGTGCCCCTTCCAGAATCTCTCGGACTCCCTCTGATCAGTGATTCCTGAGAACAGAGGATAGAGGAGGCTGAGGGCAGGGCCTTCTCTGAGTGGACCCAGGAGCGGGTGGAGGGAGCATCAGTGGGAACCCCCAGAGGACCCTGCCCAGGAGCCTCTGCCAGGCCCTGAGGGCACCCAGCTGCTGGGTCTCACCAGGGGGCACAAGGGGAAGCAGAGCCTCTACACAGTCCTCAGGCCCAGGGGGCACCCCCAGCTGGGAGGGTCCCCCTGCAGGACCCAAGGGGATGCACAGTGCCCCCTGTGGGTTACCTGTCCCTCTCAGGGTCCTCAGTGTCCTGAGGTTAACATCCAGAGCTGTGTCACCAGCTCTCAGCAGTGACCTGAAGGATTGGGTGAAGCACCTGTGGGGTCTGATGTAAAGAACATGGATACACTGTCTGTGATTGAGAGCATCCCACATGGAGGGAACAGTCATCCAGCTATAATCACTCCTGAGAGTGTGGGAATGTCTACAAAACATAAATCATGCAAAAGACTGAGCCTATCCCGCCCTGGGACATTTAGGAAGCTGCTCAGGGGAGGGCCTTTCAGGTTCATCTGAAGAGAGAAAGTGACCGCATTCTGCACAAAGAGTCATAGGAGAAAAAATCAAAACAGGTTATGAAGATCTTCAAACTAAGATGAGAGTCAGTGACTTCACAGGAGCAAGACCACCTGGTGATGATGGGTCAGGGTAACGGGAGGGTGGACAGAACAGGGCAGGGCAGGACTAAAGAAACTCTGTGCTCAGGGCAGAGAAACTGAGGAAGGAACCTAGTGGTGGTGATGCAGGAGGCTGTGCTCCCAGGAGCCACTCAGGGCTGTGCAGCATGAGGAAGGGGGAGAGAAGAGAGAAGAGGATGGTGAGAGCAGGGGTCTCTGCTTTGATGGGCCCTTAGCCTCAGGTAGGGAGAGTTTTCTCTGTGTATGAAGGAGTAGAAGATCTTGGAAAGGAGCACAAACACTGATTTCCCAGCTCAGCATTGGTGGACCCTGACCTTGAGAGGCAGAAGCAGTACCCCTGGCTCTAGGCTGGTGTGCAGGCCCAGTGAGAAGACCTTGGGGTGAGTGTGGCTGTGCAGGGTGGACAGGAGCCTGAGACTGAACCCTGGGCCCCCTCTCCAGGTGCAGGATGGGGGACCCGAGTCCTGCAAGTTCCTTACCTCATTCCAGGCTGGCTCCTGGGGCTTCCCTGAAGTGTCCCTGCAGTGTCTGAGGTAGTGGGGCTTCACATCTGCTATGGGTCCACAGGGGTGAGCCAGGTGTCTGATGAGGTGAGACGTGCCCCCCATTGTCTCCCCAATGAGAATGTTCCACATAGGGCTGAGGGCTGAGGACAGTGAGCACGTGTTAGGGGAGATGTTTGCAAACCTTCCCACCCCAGGGGGAGGAGGAGTCATGGAGGAGCATGAGCTAAATGTCCAGGGTCTGGCTGCAGTGCCCGGGACATCAGATGTCATGAAGAAGTGAGAATGGATAAGAACCCTAAACTTTGCACCCTCCTGCACACCCCCAGAATCACAGCCACAGGGAGGCAAAGCTGGGGATCTCTCTCATCACTTCATCCCCCTGGGGGAGGAGCACTGCATTCTGATCACTGCTCCCCACTGCCAGTCCAGCTTCCTGATGTCTGTTATGGGAAGGGCCTGGGAAGACCCCCTAAGGTCTGGGAGCCTGGGGCTGACAGCAGGTGGATCCTGGACCTAGACACACACAGGGGCTGCCTTCCCAGCTGCAAGGATCCACGGACACCAGGAACAGGCTACAAGTCCCCTGCAACCCCAGCCCTGATCTTCCCTGAATGAGATGAGTTGACAGGAGCCCAGAGCAGAGCTCCCTTGCCTCCAGTGGTCTGGGTCCCCTACCCATTGTGCGTGGAGGACAGGCCATACCAAGGTCAAACTTAGCCTTCCTGAGGTTGCACCTCATGGCCCCAAATGGTTGAGAATCTTCTGCTGTGGCTCCTCTCAAGGGACTGTCTCCAAAAGTCCCCACTGTCCCGCTTCTTCTCTAGGATTAGAGTGAGGCTTGGGGTCAGCACGTCCCCAGGGAAGGAAGCAGATGGACAAAGACATGAGATATGCTGCCCCCATGGACTCCAGTAGTGTGGGGCCCCAAAGCCTGGTTTCTCTCTGCGCCTATCACTATCTCTGACCCCAGCTCCTTCCTCTGTCAGCTGAGCCTCTGTCCACACTCCTGGTGGGGAGGCCAAGGATCGCTCTGTCTCTATGATGACCTTGTGCTGTGGTCCCAAGTGTGTTCTGTAATTTAAGGTTTATAATTAATCGACCCTTAATTTTCAAAGTTTCCTGTGTTGTAGCGGAAGGACCTCCTGCAGTCATCACCAAAACCACAAGGGTAGGGCCCAACCTTGACATTGGTTATGGAGAGGCCGAGACCCTCACAACACAGGACCTTCTGTTCCTGAAGGGACAACAGTGGCTCCCACCATCTGTGACATTGGTCGTGGTCCAATTCCAGTAAAGTCTCTGACACATCACAAATACTGACCCCTCCGCCCAGGGGGCACACGCTGTCATCCGGACTAAGGGGCTTATGGGCAGTTTTGTTACTCCCTTTTCACACTGCTCGATCTTCCTCAGGTCCCCTCCTTCCAGACATACCCCTTCAGGGACACGGGGTCACACCTCCTTGGAGCCATGGAGGGGATGATATCACCCTGTGACTCGTCACAGACCCCAGACTCCTAGATGACGTTCTCTGCCTATACGAAGGTGCTGTTGCTCTAGAGTAGAGTTTACTGAGCTGTGACAACAGAGAAGTGTGGTGTGGCTGCTGCCACAGTGGAGTGTAGGAGAGTGATGTCACCACAAAGAAAGTCACCTTACACACTCACCCTCCTCCTTCCTCCACCTGCCATGAACGACTGGCCTCCTTACCACCTCTAGATTCCGGCCTCTGCCAAATTACAATGAAATTCCAGTGGAGTTTAACAAGTTCTTTATAGATCTTGGAAACTCCACTGGAATTTCAAGGCAGGAAACCACAAATGTTGGAGAGGATGCAGAGAAAGGGGAACCCTCCTGTACTGTTGGTGGGAATGTGAACTGGTGCAGCCACCCTGGAAAACTGTGTGGAGGTTCCTCAAAGAGTTAAAAATAGACCTGCCCTACGACCCAGCAATTGCACTGCTGGGGATTGACCCCAAAGATACAGATGAAATGAAACGCCGGGACACCTGCACCCCGATGTTTCTAGCAGCCATGTCCACAATAGCCAAACTGTGGAAGGAGCCTCAGTGTCCATCGAAAGATGAATGGATAAAGAAGATGTGGTTTATGTCTACAATGGAATATTACTCAGCCATTAGAAACGACAAATACCCACCATTTGCTTCAATGTGGATGGAACTGGAGGGTATTATGCTGAGTGAAGTAAGTCAATCGGAGAAGGACAAACATTATATGGTCTCATTCATTTGGGGAATATAAATAATAGTGAAAGGAAATAGAGGGGAAGGGAGAAGAAATGGCTAGGAAATATCAGAAAGGGAGACAGAAAATGAGAGACTTCTAACTCTGGGAAACGAACTAGGGGTGGTGGAAGGGGAAGAGGGCGGGGGTGTGGGGGTGAATGGGTGACGGGCACCGAGGGGGGCACTTGACGGGATGAGCACTGGGTGTTATTCTGTATGTTGGCAAACTGAACACCAATAAAAAATAAATTTATAAAAAAAAGAAAATATTTCCATAAACAAGCACATCTGGATTTTTCTCTAGGAAGCTTTTTTTTCCTTTTATAATTTTGAGTGTGTCATTAATTTATGTGTACCCTGCAAACATCAAATAATGAGAAGTAGTCATCTGGTTGAAGCTAAGGGAATAATGATCCCAGCTGCACAGATCACTGACATGTGCATCAGCAGAGCAGGGACAGGGCTGATGGACCATGACAACTTCATGACTTATGAGTGTTTCATTTACTGAAAAATTGGAAGATGATAAGTGAATGTTCACTAGGCTCGAGGAAAGTGTCCCAGCTCATGAGAACAAAACTTTCTGTATCCTTTGAGACTCGTTGTGTACAAATGGGGCTACTCTGAGTGACTCTGAGGTTAGAGACCATAAAGGAGTCTCCATTCCCAGGAGGGTCCCCAAGATGCACCTGGGCCCAGCACATCACATGAAGAATAAGCAGAAACCTAGGGGGAGCCTAAGCAGGCAGATGCTGGGGGTCCCACTCACATTGCAGAGGGGTAAGTGGGTTTTTGTCTCACTTCTCCACAGGCCTGGAGCACGATGTGAGCATGAAGATTGCTGTCATAGGAAGAGCAGTAATAATCAGCCTCATCCTCAGCCTGGAGCCCAGAGGTGGTCAGGGTGGCTGAGTTGCCTGACCTGGAGCCAGAGAATTGATCAGGAACCCCAGAGGGTAGAGTATTGGTATTATAGATGATGGTTCTGGGGCCTGTTCCTGGGAGATGCTGGTGCCAGCCCACAGAAATGCCACCACCAAGGTTGGAGCTGCTTCCAGTGCAGGAGATGGTGACCCTCTGGCCCAGGGCCCCAGATACTGAGGCAGGCTGAATCAACACAGGCTGAGCCCAGGACCCTGCAAGGGGGAGAGACACAGAAGGTGATAATTGGGACTAGAGACAAGAGAAGGATGCAGGATCCCACTCATCCTCCCAGGTCCCCTTCACTGTCCCCACTACCAGTCACCTGTGAAGTGAGTGAAAACGGTGTGGAGGAGCGGGGACCAGGCCATGGTGGAGGTCATCACTGATCCTGCCTTCTGTAGTCCCACAACTGAGCAGAGCCTCCCCTCATCTCTCCCTTCCCCTCTTCATCCTCTGAGAGAGGGAGGGGCCCTTCCACTCAAATGAGACCCCAGTTGTCTGGTCCCTCAGTGGCCCTGGGTCAAGTCTCTCTGCCTGGGGATGTGAAGGGTGTGGGCAGGGGAGGGGAGGGGCTGTGTAGATACCTGAGTTAGGGAAGTCCCTGAAGCCTGGTCTCTCTGTGTCTCTTTATCTCACCCCAGCCCCTTCCTCTGTCAGTGGAGCCTCTGTCCACACTCCTGGTGCGGAGGCCACAGGCTCGCTCTCTGTCTCTATGATCTCCTCTCTCTGTGGCCCCAGGTGTGTGCTATAATTACAGGTTTATAGATGACCAAGCCTTACTTTTCAAAGTTTCCTGTATTGTAGCTGAAGGACCTCCTGCAGTCGTCACCAGAACCACAAGGGCAGGTGCGACCTTGACATTGGCTATGGAGAGGCTGAGACCCTCACAACACAGGACCTTCTGTTCCTGAAGGGACAATGCTAGCTCCCACCCTCTGTGACTATGGACGACATGGTGCAATTCCAGGCAAGCTCTGACACATCACAATGACTGACCCCTCAGCCCAAGGGACACACTCTGTCATCTGGACTAAGGGGCTCATGTGCAGTTTCTTTGTTCCCTTTTCAAACTGTCTGTTCAATCTTCCTCAGGTCCCCTCCTTCCTGAGGTCCTCCTTCAGGGACATGGGGTCACACCTCCTTGGGGCTGTGGATGGGATGATGTCACCCTGTCAGCTCCGTCATGGACCCCAGACTCCTAGATGACATTCCCTGCCTGCACGATGGTGCTGTCGCTCTGGGGTACAGTTTACTGAGCTGTGACAACAGAAAGGTGTAGTGTGGCTGCCATCTAGTGCTGTGTAGGAGAGTGACATCACCAGGAATACAGTCACCTCACACACTCACCCTCCTCCTTCCTCCACCTGCTGTCAATCCGTGGCCTCCTTACCACCTCTAGATTCCCGCCTCTACCAAAATACAGTGAAATTCCAATGATGTGGAATGTAGCCTTGATATGTTCTTCTTCCCGAGGAAATGTGCCATTAATATTCATGCATATTTTTGCCTTGAGAACTTATTTTCTGTAAATATTGACTAATATCATGATCTTCAAAAATACATCATGTTGGAGGAAATCTTCTTTACTTCAAGTCTGGCCATTTTATAAAAACCTGATATAAAAATCAGTGTGCAGATTTTTTTATTGCTTTTAATTGTGGTGATCATGAATAAAGTTTACGTAAACATGCATATGGGGATTTTTCTCTAGAAAGTTTTTTTTACCTATTATAATTTTAAATCTGTCATTGATTTATGTGTTCCATGCAATCATCAAATAATAAGGAGAACTAGTCATCTGGATGAAGCTGAGAGAATAATGATCTCAGGTGCAAACAGAGCTGACATGTGCATCAGCAGAGCAGGGACGGGCCTGAAAGACCATGATAGCTTCACGACCTAAGAGTGCTTCATTTACTGAGAAATCAGAACATGATAAGTGAATGTTCACTAGCCTAGAAGAAACTGTCCCAGCTCATGAGGACAAAACTTTCTCTTTCCTTTAAGACCCTCTTAAAGGGTCTGTACCCTGTGTACAACAGGCTACTCTCAATGACTCTGAAGTCACAGATGATGAGCAGGTGCCATTCCCAGGAGGGTCACCAAGATGCACTTGGAATCAGGACATCAAATGAAGAATCAGCAGAAACCCAGGGGGAACCTAAGCAGGCAGCTGCTGGGGCGCTCACTCACTTTGCAGATGGGTAAGTGGGTTTTTGTCTCACTTCCCCACAGGCCTGGAGCACCGTGTGACCTCTGAGACTATCATCCCATGATGAGCAGTAATACTCAGCCTCGTCCTCAGCCTGGATCCCTGAGATGGTCAGGGTGGCTGTGCTACCAGACTTGGAGCCAGAGAATCGATCAGGGACCCCCGAGGGTCGGTAACTATTACCATAGATGAGGGCTCTGGGGCCTGTTCCTGGGAGCTGCTGGTACCAGCCCACATTATTACCACCGATGTTGGAGCTGCTTCCAGTGCAGGAGATGGTGACCCTCTGGCCCAGGGACCCAGACACCGAGGCCGGCTGAGTCAGCACAGACTGGGCCCAGGACCCTGCAAGGGGGAGAGACACAGAGAGGGTGATGCTGGGGTCTGGAGACAAGAGGAGGGAACAAAACCTCACAAGTAGTCCCAGGTCCCCTCTCCCTGTCCCACATCCAGTGACCTGTCCAGTGAGTGAGGAGGGTGAGGAGGAGAGGGGACCAGGTCATGGTGGAGGTCATCACTGATCCTGTCTTCTGTGGTCCCACAGCTGAGCAGAGCCTCCCCTCATCTCTCCCTTCCCCTCTTCATACTCTGAGAGAGGGAGGAGCCTCCAATGCAAATGAGACCCCAGCTCTCTGACCCCTCCCTGGCCCTGGGTCAGGTCCCTGTGCCTGATGATGTTAGGGAGGTGAGTAGGGGAGGGGCTGTTTGGGGCTGGGATGTGATTAGGGAGGTCCCAGCTGTGAGCCCTGAGCTGTGGCCACAGTCAGTGCCAGGTGGTGTTCCCAGCTCTGATCAAGCCTGAGCCCTAAGAAATAAGCCTCAACTGCCTTCTGGCATCCTGACACCACCTCACCCTGCATGACATGGGGATCAGTTGGCCAAAGGACACAGGTCCTGTCTCCAGAGCTCAGGCCACTCTCTTCCTAGGATAGGGACACATGTCCCCTCACATGGTCTCTTATCACTGCAGCATAGATTTTAGGCTTCACTCTAATTTTTTGGTGCGAGGAATGTCTGGGTTGCTCAGGAGTTAAGCATCTGTCTTTGTCTCAGGGCATGATCTTGGAGTCCTGGGATCAAGCCCCTCATCTGGCTCTGTGCATGGAGTCTGCTTCTCCTTCTGCCTATGTCGCTGCCTCTCTCTCTCTCCTTCTGTGTGTCTCTGCCACGGCTACCTTTTTAAACCTTATGATTATATCATGGGTCTGATTATGCAGGTAGGAAACCCTGAAGTGGTGCCCAGGAGCCCCAATGAGGATCCTGTTGTATGAACTTCAGAATCATCTGAGTGCTTGAATTCTCATACACAGATGAGCTTCCAGGATGAGAAATTCAGGGTCCAACTCCTATCTGGGGTGGGCACAGCTTGCGCCCAGGTACCTGTCTCCAGCATGTTGAGGACAGAGCAATTGCTCATTCAGACACCCATGAATAGGAGAATGAAGTTCTATTGGCAAATGCCACCTGGACCCAGAGTTGTTGTCAAGGTCCCCTGTGAGTGGTGGAGAGTGGAGATGAGGGGCCAGGTCCCTGAGGTCACAGACCCTGTGGTCCTGACTTGGAACAGATGTTTTAGCAGAGGTCCAGCCTGGGTGGAGGTGTCCCTGGTGAGACTGTGGGATTGACAGCCCAGCCCTGAAAGCACAGGAGGGTGAGTCCCACATCCCCAGGGGCCTTGACCACTGGTGGAGCAGCACTAAGGCTGGGGACCCAGAATCAATGTACTGATCAGACTCAAGCGCTGATTGAAGCCCAGAAAAATGTGGGGAGCTGAGCTGCCCTTGGGGACAGAGAGTCTCCCTAGGAATCCTGAGGATCAACTTCATCCCAAACAGGTATTCAAAGCACATCCTGGATGCCCAGGTGACAGCACCTCAGCCACTCGTGTTCCCTCTTACTAGGGATTTTGCCTTCTGGAGATTGTGACACCAAGGACAGCTGATGAGCACAGAATAGTCTAACTTTTGGATGGATGGAGAAGCCCCAAAACTGCAGAGCCCAGGACAATATACAACCAGAGATGAGGCAACTGTGAGTGTGAGAGTGTGTGTTTGTGTGTGCATGTTTGTGCACGCGTGACCTAAAATTAGGCCAAGTGGCCCTCATTCCCTTCTAAGCCTTCTCAACAGACTGGGGGATTGCCCTTTATCTCAGGTCCTGGAGCCCGGATTTCAAGGCCCGTGTCTCAAAGCCCTTGTCCAAGAGGGAGGATTGATCCAGGCAGTGAGGACTCATATGAGAGCAGCCCTGTAACAACATCCCTGAATCAGACGTGCAGGTGCTGTCGAGTGACAGAAACAGGAAGGAGAATGTAGGGTTTCACATGCAGCCCCAATTTCTGGTCATTCTCCTCCCCATAGATGGACCAGGATCATTTCTGGTTTTCTCTGAAATCCTGAGGTGGAGACAGAGCTCAGACCTGAAGAACCAGAGGGAAAGACAAGCCTGAGGGACAGGGGAGCAGAGGGGAGAGGAGGAGTGAGGGTGTGGGGGTGTTGTCAGGGAGAGTCTGCAGGATCTGGTCCAAATTCACGTGTTTCTGGTTCAGAGAGAGGAGACTGTCTGTGACCAGGGTTATAGACAGTGTATCAGCTGTGGGTACATCAGGAGTGACAAAGGTCACACTTCATGGAATGAGATGATAGAACTGACTGTGGATGAATATTTGCTGGGAGGCAGGTTCAGTTGCAGACACAGTATTTATCCCTGTCCATCTTCTCCAGCCCCCAAGGGGGTGTGCAGTTGGGCTCTGACCTCTCATCTCTTCCTGTCTTCCTCAGATACCCTATGAGGTGTCACTTTGCAGGCATATACTTAGTATTTCTCTTTCATATTTTGAATCCAAACCTTCTGGGCACCTGGGTGCCTCAGTGGTTGAGCAACTGTCTTCAGCTCAGGTTGTGATCCCGGGTTCACGGATGGAGTACTGCCTCACATTCCCTCCAGTGAGCCTGCTTCTCCCTCTGCCTATGTCTCTGCTTCTCTGTGTCTTAAATAAATAAATAAATAAATAAATAAATAAATAAATAAATAAATAAATAAATACAATATTAAAAAAAAAGACAGAACCCAGACCTTCCTACAGACATGTGCCCCCTGTATGTATCTCCAGGTAAGAATCTCTGAAAAGTAGCTTCAGACCATGTCTGTGGGTCCAGGGTTCTTTGTCTCACGTCCTCCTTATCTGAGATGCTGTGAGTATTGGGAGCTGCTCCCACTGCCATGGTCTGTAGCACAGTGACTGTCAGCCTCATCCTCAGGCTGCAGCCCAGAGAGAAGCAGGAGCCCTGCATTGGCCGAGGTGTCCTTGGAGCCAGAGAAGTGGCTGGGGACCCCGGGGCCCAACCCTGTACTTGAGTCCGAGTAGTAGTACAGGAGGTACCGGGGAGGGCTCCCTGGCTTCTGCTGGTATCAGTATATGTTATAGCCACCAAAACTGAAGCCACTGCTCAGGGTGCAGGTGCATCTGGCTGTTGATCCCAGGGATGCAGAGAGGGAGGGCGGCTGGGTCAGCACAGGCTGGGATGGGGAATCTGCAGACACCCATACATCACAACGAAGACAAGAGACAGGGTAATTGTGATTGAGGAGCGGAGCCACCTGGATATGACTTAGGCTGGGGTCGCCCTCTCTTGCACTGCTGCCTGTCCCTACCTGTGCAGGGACAGAGGAGCTCAAGGAGTACAGGGGTCCAGGCCATGGTGATGCAGCCATTTCTTAGGCCACAGAGCTGGGGTTGGGCTGCCCCTGGCCTGTCTTATCCCCTGTCCCATGGCCTCACAGAGGAGGGGCTGCTCATACAAATGTGATCACCCCTGCCTCTCCCTCCTGTTCACTTACAGGTCTGTGGCACTTTGACAGGGAGAATTCCTGATGCACTAGCTTCCCTCTGGTGGACCTGGAGGAAGCACCTGCTGGGGCCCACAAACAGATCCAGGTCCAAGTACCCATCACAGTTCACAGAGGACACGACTATTTAGTTCACATAAAAGTAAAGTACCCAGCACCAGTAAATGCCAGGGATTGCATAACTGGGAGACCCTATCCTGTAAAAAGCCTCAGACTCCATCTCACTTCACCCCCTGCTGGTCGCTGGGCAAATCTCTCCTTTCCCACCTCAGGCAAGCCTCCTCTTCCCCTGCTTCCCTGGATCATGTGCTCTCAGCATGTGAAAGTGACCCTCCAGCAATGGATAGAGGTCCTGGGATGCCCTCTCTGATCAGGACTCCTACAAGGATTGGGTTCTAGCGGGAGGGATCTGTGCAGTCCTCTTCCAGGAGAACCAGGAACTGCTGTGGAGCTGAGGACCAGACACAGGGAACACAGAGCAGAGGGTCTCTGTCCCTGCAGGAGGGCCTCAGGGGAGGCGGGTTGGCTCCATGTGCTAAGTGTGAGCAGGAGCTTGTGAGGGGACACATATCTTCACCGAGGGAACACAGAGGTGGGAATGATGGGCACTTCCAGAGCAGGGTGGACAGGACACAGAACAGTCTGATGAAGCTGACAGGGTTTTAGGGACAGAGCAGGGCCTGGGCATCAAGCAGGGACCAGTGCAGGGCCATCCTGTGACCTCCTTCCCCTCCATTTACTGTGAGATTTTTCATCTTAGCTGTGCTTGTCCTCAGGGGTGCTCATCAGAGAATTAGCTTCAGTGGACATCCTAGTACAGAATATGGGACAGGGAGACCTAGAAGCATCATTAGGAGGAGGGAGGGGCTGGAGGATCATGACAGCCAAGGCAATGGGTAAAGGTGCAGGGGATTGTGTCCCCAGGTGGGACAGTGGGAGCTGACTGACTGGACTCCAGGCTGTGGGAGAGGGAGGGATGGTCCATAGTGTCGGGTGGATGGAGGGCGATGCCCACAGAGTCAGGAATACCTGGAGAGGCACAGGTGAGGTCAATTGGGAAAGCAGGTAGAGGGCTGGCGGTGGATCTGTTATTCCCATGTCACCTAAAGACCATATATGATTTTTACAAGGTGTGGAGACAGAGACCACCAGGGCTCAGGGAAGCCTTCCCTTTCCCAATGGAAGCATGTGAGTGCTACATTAACCAGAAGCCTGAGGGCTTAGTCTGAGGGGTCCTGAAAGGAAAGCTGGAGGCCATAAGGTGACAGAAGGAACAGGGTGATGACCAAACACACAACTATGGTGTGAACCAAGTAGTGCAAATGTTCTCCCACCCCTGCATCTTTTATATTCATCCCTGAAGGGAACCCCTAGTCTATGAGGGAGGAGGGGAGGAGAGGACAGGACAGAGAAGCCCAGGGCTCTGCTGGCTGAGGCCACACGGTGGCATTCCCATCCTCCTCTCCACAGTGGTCCCTTGTCCTAGACCAGGTAGCATTGCAGGTGATTCATTTCATCATGGGAACCTCTCCAAGCATGGATTGTCTGTCCTGCCTGAACACCAGCCTTGGCAATGACTACATGGGGAGGAGGATGCAACATGAACAAGGGAGGGAGTCAGAGCTGAGCACCCATGCACCTCCAGGGGCACGGATGCTGCAGAGTCACATGGC